CATCCACTCATCTTTTTTCCCCCTTAACTATAGAAATAATGCTGTCATTATGTGCTTCAGTTCCATCATCTTCCAACTTTTTGGTGTTGCTGAGCCAGTGCTTTCCTTCATTTTATGTAGTTGATTGTGGATTTAGCCATAGACTTTGCCATTTTGTCAGTTTTTTTTTTTTTTTTACTTCCACCATAACAAATCTTTTCACATCTCTCTGAATCCCATATTGCACGCCTAACAAAGGAAATCAGCTCTTGATATTTCATCTGTTTAATTTGTCATGAAATAGCAAGGGAACAGGCCTCCACGATTATGAAGCTGTATATGTTATCTCATTATACAATAATATTATATTTGAATAAATATATTATTGTGACTGTGGCTCAGGGAGTAATCAGTTGCTGGGATGAGGCCTGGCTGCTCTTGTCTGCACGCCAAAGTATCCTTCGGCATATTAATGTTAGATAGAAAGCACTTACTTGCATGAATGGATGAATGACATGTATAAAGTGCTTTGAATGCTCATCTAGTATAGAAAAGCTCTATATTATTAAATATACTATCAGCCAATTGGCTAAATCCCTTTTAACCCTCTGAAAATGGGGAAACAGTGTAAAAATGGCTTTAATTCCTAAACAGGTCATATCAAGCCCCTTAAATATAGCTGGAAGTCTGCACCCCAGTCACATCTTCACTGTTTGCTTTCAAATCTAAAGTGGTGGTTGAAATTTTGCCTGGTGATAATTAATAAATAAATAAATAAATAAATAAATACAACTGTCAACTTCTACCTCAGCATAATATACAATGGACACCTAACTCTACATGTATGTCTTTTATTAAGGTCACGCAGCCATGATTGGCCTAATGATGCTGTGTGTTATTTATTATTAATGTTAAAACAGGTAAACAAAAAAGTAAAATTAGTGGAAATCAGCTGTGAATCATTCGCATTTTTAAATGAGGAGATTTTTACTGGGAAATCTTTCAAATCTTTCCTTAGCTACAGTCCTTGGGCTCATTATTTTGACTTGATGATGTTTTAGGTGAAATGTAGGATAACGGTTTTTAATTCATGTTCGATGTGGGGTTGAATTGACTGCATGTAGAACAGACCACTAAGGATTTGGTGCCCAGCAGCCACCTCACTTTTAATCTATCCTTGTGTCACATACAACTGCCACATTACTTTGAGTGTCCTCCAAAAATATTGGTTCTTTGCCACACTCTATATCCCTGCATACAAGACTAAAAATATGGACCTAATGCTGTAGGCTCCAGCCAGATGGATGTATCACAGAGGAGGATTTTAGGACTTAGACTGCTCCAGATGAGCTCTTCAAGCAGCCAAGAAGACAAACACTTGAATGGCAAACCATCAGTGTGCCGGAGCTGATTTGCAAACACAGACAAAGACTGAAAACCTAAAATGAACAGATTGTTTATTTATCCAATCGCATTTAAAAAGACTGCATTCACATATTACAGTCATAGTGAAATATACCAATAAATAAAATGGTACACATTAGCCTGTGAAGAGGGTTCTGTGAACAATAGTGCTACGGATACACTCTCATGAGCTTTTTCTTTATGCCTGCGAATAGACCATCTCTAAAGCGTCAGAGATGATTTAACATTTAAAAGTTCTCCCTTTAGCAGTTTCAACACTGACCGTGATGTGAGTAAAAAGACAGAAAAATAACCACAGTGGGAGATTACCCAACCATGCAATATGTACACTATGCCTTTAGATAAATAAAAGGGGAAGTTGTAAAGCCTTTTGAGCAAAGCAAGAAATATACTTAAAAATCCAATCAAACAGTCTTTGAACTGAAGAAACGTGCTATTCAAGCGTACAACTGACACAAGAAATAAATGTGAATATCACTTTGAAATGTTTAGAATTAGAAAACAAAAAACAAAAAGTATGCCGTGCTCAAAAAAAGTGGCTTAAAAGGGTCAATGCAGACAATGTACGGTGGCCCTGAGAGGTCAAAGGAACTGCAAACTAAAGAAATACCAGCAAATAGAAAAATGTTGAAAAAGTACACAAAGGACAACAGAACTTGAATAAAACACAACAGTAGTAGAAAAACACACAAAACCCAAAAAGTGTTATTGGTGAGGTATGTCACCAAACACCTGAAGAAGTGGCAACAATCTAGTGCTAAATGGCTAATAGCAAACATCTATCTGCAGTATTACATGAATCATATGAAAACACTGCATGTTTTTCTCCCTCACAACGTGGATGAGTCGTGTGCTCCTTTTAAGCCTACAATGTTTCGCAGCTGGTCCTTCGAATAAACGCCTCCCCCAAAAACACCTGTTTTGTTGCTCTGATTTAACTTCGACTGTGTTTTATTCGGCTTCTGTGTTTTGCTTTGTTTTTTCATTTCCAATGTGTTTTGTGTGCATTTGGAGAAATTTTCGGTTTGTTGGTGTTTTTAAGTCGCAGCGCAGTTCTGAAGTTGCAGCGTTTGACCTCTCTGGGACACCGTACAAACGTGAGGCGCATCGAGTGAATTGAAATTTGAAAACTGGAGCAAGTACGACACAACCACCGCTACAAAATATACAATGTGCAAGTAACAGTGGTAAATAAGGTCAGTGTGTCATTAGTGTTGATTACGACTAGTTCCCTTTAAGTCAAGACACAACCTAAGCATTCAGATGCTTCGAACACTTTTTAGCTTGAAAAACAAACCATGACAAACTTGGATTAGTGATGTGAGGTGCTGCATTGCAGTTAGTCTGCATTCACTTCCACAGATTTCCTGAAGCAGAGACTCAGTACATTACAAGTCCTCTGAGGCTCTTGAGGACACTGAAATATTTTACACTGCTACACAAAGCACTCCATAAAATTCAGTGTTTACTATAATAGGCTCCTCGCTAAGGCAACGCTTTCAACGTCACACTTCATAATAGCTGAAGACATCCACTTTAAAGAGTGTAACTAGAAAATTTGAAATACATAAGTAGTGGAGCCATTTGACGACAAGCCGCGTTACTTCTCCGTTTCCTGTTTTTGGATTTAAGAGTTCAACAGCAGCGTGAAGCAAACAGAACCACAGAGGAGCTCTCCCGGCTGCCAGGTGTACAAAGCCGATTGAGTTACAGCAAAAAGAAGAAGAACAAGACCGCCACACTTTTAGACCAAGTTGTAGGCATCCAGGTGGCCCTGCAAGATGTGGTCCTTCACCACGCAGAAGACAAACCGGACGTTGTCTGTGTCTGTGGCGCACGTGAAATGGGAGTAGATGATTTTTTTCTCATCTGGGTTAAGACTGACAAACATGTCTAATATGAATGCTTTTCCCGCGTCGACGTCCTGTGGAGGACCTAGAAGAAAACAGCACAGGAATATTTTAGTAGTTGTGTAAAAGTGAAAAATTGTAAGTTAGATTCATGCATTTCCATGAAGAAATAGAAATCTGAATTCACAGGCAAAGCATATCATTTTTATCAGCGGAAAACAAACTGGTACACTCGTGTTTGGTCTGGTATAACCAGTAGCATTTAGTAGCTAATGCCAGCGAACTGTAAAAAGGAGTGAGTGTGTTGTTGGTGATTGTAAGAGAAAGACTTTGTTATTTGACACAGTGAATCAGCAAAAACGAATGGACCAAGATGCTCATATTATCATGTTCTATTCAAATGTTCTTTGTAGCGAGTGTGCTAGTTCCCCTTACCGTCGTACTCAGGGAAGTAGTCAACCAAATGTGAATACATGATTTTTTCCTCGAGTAAATCTATCTTGTTGAGGAACAAGATGATCGAGGATTCTTCGAACCACTTGTAGCTTATGATTGTCTTGAACAAGGCCATGCTTTCTTCCATTCGGTTCTATGAAAAAAAAACAACATATAAATAAATAAAGAATGAAAGGGAGCAAACACAACAGACGTGAATCCCTGCTGAAGAACAGCAGTACTTCACCAGTGATTGCCTGTGTGAGCAAATTCAATTGGCTGTAATCTCATCAAGTGAACAGGCCTCACTAAAAGGTGCCCTTTGTTGGGCTAAAGTGACTTTAGAGCTCCCCCTGCAGTTGAACTATGAGCACTGCCACAAAGGAGGGCTGAGATGAGGTTAATCAATGTGGCCAGAAAGTGAGAGAGAGAGAAACAGAGAGACAAAGAGAGAGAGAGAGAGGAGCTGGACTCTGCAGAAATCTAGGTCATCATTTCCACCTAACAGGTTTGGCCTTAAACAAAGGAAACAAAGTCCCTTTGTGTCCTATCCAGTGAGTTGGGTGTTTTTTTTATCCCAAAGCAAGCTACTGTCTTTTCCCATGTAAGAAACATGTATATATATATATATATTAGATTATTATTTTTAAGTCTGATTTTTACCTCATTGGAAGACTCAGCGAGGGCCTGATCGTACTCACTAAGTGCCACCAGGAACATGATGGAAGTGACATTTTCAAAACAGTGGATCCATTTCCTCCTCTCTGAACGCTGACCACCCACATCCACCATCCTACAGTCACAGGTTTAAACCGGTGAAAAATATTACGGTAACATAAATGATACAAATGATGTTTCTTAAAAATGATAACAGGACCGGAGACAGCAATGTAAAGTACATGAACTGTTATATTAAAGAGGTAAAACCAGTCAAACTGGGGGAACCAGTCAAACAGCAGCTAATATAATCAGTGGCCAGCTGTCACAGCGACATAGTCTAAAATTGGTCAGTTCAAACACGATGTTTCTTTCTAATGTGAACTCTAATGTGCGTTACATTTTAATGGGCTCCCTGAAAATTAACATCTCAGTGTTCAGTTACCTAACACACAGTAGGTGGCTTTGAGAGATCATTTTAAAGTTGGTCGGGTCTTCTCACAAAGTTTGACTAATTATCGACACAGTTAAACGTCACTATTTTTAGCGTTAAAATGATATTTAGTTTTCTAATTAACAAACATTTTGTTTGCTATATAACTATGAAATCAATTTAACACACTGGGGGCACTCTTCATGCAGAACTGCTCTGCGTGATCTGTCTGCTCTTGCTATACGTAGCCGCCCAGGATGGCAGACTTGATGAACAAATTATATTTAGGGACGCAATGATAACTGCAGTCCAAGGGCGAACAGGTGAAAGTGTTGCTTATAGGGCTGTTAGATATAACGATATATATCGGATGACGATATAAAAACGTCTATCGTTTCATTTTACGCTATCGTTTGTTTCGCAAAATAAACTGTTTACGGCAACATTTTCTCATCGTTTTGATGGTCACTGTAGTGGCTATATTAATTTCTTAAAGTTCTCTCTTTCTCTTATATTTAATATAACCACACTACCGACGACAAGCGCCTGTTTTTATGCGTTGTGGCTAGCAACAACGACGGTAACAGCATCGCGTGCCCGCTTGTTTATGTTCCACCTAAACCTTTCACAATAAAGCTCAAGATCCTGTTGAGACTTTTCAAAATAAACAGAATCACGTGAAAGAGCAGATTATTTACGGATGAGAATTAAAAAAGAGCCGCCAGGTGCTAAAAAATAAACCTTAGACTCAAACGTTAGAACAGGCTTTTCCCCGCAGCACGCCGTGTAATAAATACTCACAAAGAAAACAGCGGCCGTTACAACTTATGTCTAAAAATGTATCGTTTCATGCATCGGTTAAAACACTCGACTCCAGCTACATGACGCGCAGCTGGAAACACTTCCCGCAAGACGAGCTGCCCGAGATTCACAGAATTTACAGAAAATGTTAAATTTTTGTGATTTATATCGTTATCGGGAAGATAGAATTCTTATATGAGATTTTGGTCATATCGCACAGCCCTAGTTGCTTATGTGCTTATGTTACCTGATAACACTAGGTGTCATCAGGGACAATGTCATTGTTTTTGCAGGTATCTGGTTACCAGAGAGGTTGCAAGTAAAAAGAAAAAAAAACAGGATGGCCATTCGCTAGCAGTGAATGCACCATAATGATGTATACACACAATAGACATTGTACTCAGGAGGTAGAAGGGTAGAAGATTTTAAAACAGGTTACTGGATCTTTATATATATAAGATATAAATGTATCGATCCCTGTAATACCTCGAATTATGTTATCTGCTTTTAAGGAATGTTGCATTATTTTAATAGTATTTGTGGGGGACACCAACAAAAGAAAGAAAAAAACCCCCACTCACCTGAACACCACGCCCTCCAGGTCAAAAGGGTACTCTATGATACCGGTTGTGGGCACCCTCACCCTCAGCACATCTTGCTGAGTTGGCAGATACCCAGTATCGGAGATTCGATCCAAGTCATCCAGATAGCTAATAGCACAGGGGGAGGATAATGCAGTGTTAAGAAATGAAAATGAAAGCTGCTGACAGAAAGACTGATGAAGAAGCAGAACAGAGAGGGAGAGAAGGAAGACATTTATTTTGAATTATTTAAGTCATGGCTGTATCTGTTTCAGCCATGTAGCTGCAATGAATTATTTAGAATTTAAATGCGTTTCTTTTTAACAACCTTAAATGGAAAAACTACTAAGCCTCTGTGTCCTTGGTGCATTAAAAAGACGGCTGGCAGATGAAACACAGGAAATTATTAGACAGTGTGTGAGGAGTTATTCTTCTGTTTACACTCACTATTTGGCTGAGTCTGAGAGCTGGTATTCCCGCTTCCGATTGTAACATTCCTGAATTCCCGGGTCGCTCCACAAGCTCTTCAAGGCATCAATGTATGGGTTGGTTAATGTTACCACCTTTTCCACATCAGCCTTATTGACAGTTGTGGCGTTGGCCTGAGCATCACAATAACACATTAATATTAGCGACAACTTCAGAAAGAATAATTACTTTAATATTGTGCTATTTATAGGAAGCATCTCTTGCGCAACTGTCACCGCAGCATTATAGGTGACGAATCAGTCCCAGTGCTGGAAGGAAGGAGTGATGTCATCCAGTTTACCAAGATAACAAATACCAAACAAGATGGAATTAAGATTCTGATTCATACTACCAATCATTTACTGAAACTAACTGTTCAACATATAAGCACATCATTTCGATACAGTGGGGGAAATAATTGTTCCAAAGAAACGAAAAGTTTATATTTTTATGATAATTTCATTTTAATAGAGGCAGAATATCAACCAAACCGCATTACGTAAAAGCTATAAGTAGATTTTCTTGTCATTGAGTGAAATAAGTATTTGATCCCCTACAACGCAGCAGGAATGGCTGTGTGCCACGTACGGTCAATCCATCAACTACGGATCGTCCTTTTTGAACTCCTTATGTGTATGAAGCACAACTTTCCAGAGAATCAGTTCCCTCCATTTTACCACTTTGGGCAGTATCAAAGAGCCAAGAATAAAAATAAGAAACCTAACGGATTTCGAGAGTTTCGGCAAAGAGGAGCGGGCCAAACTCCCCCCTGAGGTGTGTACACGCCTGGTGATGTGAGCAAACTTTCAAATTCAGCAGGCAATCAAATATTTATTTCCCCCACTGTAAAAGAGAACTTTTTGATAGTCTCCAGCAGACATGATGAAATTAAGCCCTGTTTAAACTACTGTCACAGGGGGTCTTTAAAAACCAATAAGTAATCTCTGAGCTTCCAAACATAAAACAATAAATCTGATTTGAAGGTATCTGTGTAGTGGTTTTTCTTGAGTATGTTATCAACAGCTGTTGTTTAGAAATTGTCATTCTCAACCTAGCAGTCAAGCGTGTTAACCCCATCTGCAGGAATTTAGTGCATTGGTTTGCATGGCATTGTTGTGGGAGAGAAGCGGTACCAGTATGTTATACGGCAGCCATCAGTGAAAACGGAAATGACACTGAAGAAATCAGACACAACATGAAAGGAGCTGGGGTAGATATGGGTTGCAAAGCAGCTTGCAGAGGCAGTACTAGCCGTGGGAAGGCTAAAGCATTTGCATACCCCCATATCAGATTTTTTCAACAGGAAGCACAGAAGGGCAGCAGTTCAGCAATCTGAAGCAATAGTAAACATGAGAATCAAAACCCATCATTAATGAAATTCCAGTGTTATGAAATATATGAATCGAACCGGCTGATTACACTGCAACGCTCCAATAAAGGTAACACTCAAGTACAGATATCTGTTTGTTGAGTCATATATTTTTCATAATGCAGAAGTCTTTGGAAGGGATTTTCCACTTTGTTTGATTTTTTGTTTTTGTTTTTTCATGCTAACTAAAATGCTCCTGCTTCAAAATATACTCCCATTCTTTGATGGTCCTGTTTTTCTTTTTCTATTTTACATTTTCTTCCCCCTGCAGTCACTGACCACCTAATAGAAATCAAAAAATCTTAGCATTTTACTAAAAGATTGTTCCAGCTTTTAATTCCACACCACTAATACAATGTAACTTACTCGCCTCCATCACTCAACAGCTGCCACTGTTTTATGTGCCGCGCCTCAAATAATCACGTCACTTCCAGTGTCTACTTCATTTTTTATAGAGCTACTCAAAGGCAGATTTCTTATTTAAGACTCAAAAACACAATCATAGAAATACCACTGAGTATTCTTCTTACAGTATATTCCAGTATAGAGCTAGCTAGCCGCAGTTATGAAAGTATCATTAAGGCAGTCACATGAGTCTAGAGAGAGGTTGGCAACTGCCTTGTGTCCACCTTACTGGTTGCCAGCAAAACATCTTTGTGGTTTGTGTCTCACTTTTTCAAGTTTCACTACAGTTCAGTGTTTAATTAGCAAGTGTTTGCAGACAGGTCAGTGTCATCCATAACAGCCACAAGCAAGCATTACACCGTGCTAGTGACCACAGTAATCACAAGGAGGTGTGACTTTTTGTGTAAACCTCTTACATAAAAAGTTAACTAAAACTATCACTTTTGACTTTATATGAGAAAATGCTTTCAGAATAAAAGTCTAACCTGTGTGTTTAGTGAAGCAAACAGTAGGAGCAAGCTTCACTAAGTTAAGATGTTCTCCTTCAGGTGAAAGCAAGCAAAAAGCTAGTTACCCCAGCAGGCTTTTATGTGAGCATATAAATTTAATCCAACTCGTTCAATTGTTCTTTTGTTTTTGTTTTTGCTTTGTTTTCTTTTTGTTTCAGAGAGGTTATACGAGGACTCAAATCTTTGGATGGGCCTTCTGTGCATTACTATAGATTCTAAGCTACGATTTCACCATTCAGGGAAGAGGTTTAGTGAACTGATATACTGAGTGCCTGATATCACCGCTCGCTAAATTATTCAAACAGACAGTCAATAGTTTATTCAATAATGAGCGATAAATTTGGTTTCCAGACAGGAGTCTAATGCACTTTTTTGTGATCAGCATAGTTTGTGAACAGTGTAGTTGATTTGATGAATAAACGCACTTATTTCAGACACAGCGACGGATGTCTTGACCTCACTGACCTACGGTCTCTCTGTGTTTCACTGCTGATTTATGCAAACCGACTGCATACAAACAGTGCCATCCTGTGAGCTTTTACAGAACACCACCAACACTACAGGAAAGAAAAAATATAACGCACATGCTGACTCAGATGATCACTGACATAGGCTCTCCTGGATTGCATCCTAACCTGGAGCTTTACCTAATGTAGTCTCTGTGTGTGAGCTAGCAAGTTTTTGTGATTAATACGCACCTGGTGTTTGTAAGACAGGAACAGATTCCTGTATGAATAATGGGGAATTCCTGATCTCTTACTTGTTTTTGGCTCAGGACTACCAGTTTTTACATGCTTGCAGTGTGACACTCTGTATACTTCAAAACGACAGCTCACTCCGTAAGTAGACAAAACTCTCTGGCAGCAGGATTGCAAAACTAAACACTGTTGCAAATTACCAGAAGTGCTTCACCCTAAATACACAGTAATACACACTGCAGGCTCTGTCAGTAAACCTTCCGCATGCTTCTGTGGGACTGTGTCTGATAAAAACCGCTTTCTCAATTTGTCTGAGCAAAGCAGCGAAGAAAGGACACAGGCCTACCTTGTTGTGCTCATACTTGTAGGGGATCTGCAGTGCGTTCATGGCCTGGATCATGGCCTGCATGGCTGTGAAGATGTTCTGGTACACCAGCTGTTTGAAGCCTCTCTTGTCTTCATCAGAGTATCCACGGCCATGGATGATCCTCATTTGTTTAATGAACGTGCTCTTGCCACTTTCACCAGTTCCTATCCAACAGGAGGCATAAATGTAGTTTTATTCTTTATTCCCATCAAAATACCAACAATACAATGCACCTGTCCTCCCCTCTATACCTTATCACATCCAGATACTGTGTAAATCCAAAGGTCATTTTCATCCCCTCAAGTGATTCTTGATCCAATAAGAACACATGGAAAATCAGATTTTAAAAATATATATATATGAAAAATTTATTACAGAAAAAACCTATTACAGACATGTTTTGTTTTGTTTTGTTTTGTTTTGTTTTGTTTTGTTTTGTCTTGGTTGTTTTTACAAAATGATTTTTTTTATAATTACAGGACGATCAATAAGCTACCTGAGCCCTTCCTGTAATTTTACTTTTACTTTTTTTATTTCTTACAATTTAAGCACAAAGAGACACAATTATGTTATTTACCACAACAGCAGGTAGAAAAAACTTAAAGTCTGAGAACTTGTTTTTTTATAGTGGTAGAAGAAGCATCTAGATTATTTACTTAAATAAAAACTTCTTTAAACATATATAAGGAAAATTCTTTTAATTAAAGTCCAACTAAACTAAAAGTGCCTCAACTATAACTATTCATTATACAGAATTCATTTTTTCAGTATATTATAGGATCAAGGTGATTATAGTTAACTAAAACTGAAAACTAAAGCAGATTTGAAGAAAACATTTTAGTTACCTAAAAAAAGTGAAAATTAAAACTAGACTTGTGCAAAAATGTAAACGATACAAAATAAGATTTTGTAAAAAGTATAGTATCTGTTAGTTTGTTAAAAAGGTGTTATTTCAGCTTGGCTGATGAGGCATTGATGGACATGCTTATTGAGACTCCACAGGATTGTGAGTCAACTGCTTTCAAAATATTCTGTGTTTTTATTGTAACACCGGTATAAATTTTCCTAAATCGTGCCTCCGACATATGCCTTCCATACAATAATAATTAAAAAGCCTAAATCTGACACTGAAACTAACAAAAACTAAACTGAAACTAAACCGTTTGAAACAGTAGAAAGTAAACTGGATTAAAAACAAAAAGTCAAAATGAATTGAAATAAAAAACGAATTAGAAATCACAAAAATAAAATAACTCTGAAAGGAAATAATTAAAAAAAAATATTCAGTCATTAATGAGTACATCACTTGTAATTATAATTTAAGCACTGACCTTTGGCTTAATAAAAAATAACAAGGTATAAATTTTTGATTGATTTCAGGCTATAAAACATATATATATATATATATATGTGTATATATATAAAATAACATCTGTCACAAAAAAATAATGACAGGAATATTTAACTAATACAGGTACGTCAGAACTTGTTTTACGTTTTCCTGCTGACCCTGTTGACACATCCATCCATTTCAATTATATTGTTTCTGTAAAACGTTCACATATTCTATATATATTCGTGCAGTGTGTAAGCTAGTTTTAACTGTAAACCTCCCACTCTTTCTGTCTGTTGACATTGAAATTCCTTTCTGGATCACTATGCGTCACACTGATAAGCTCTTGACTTTTTGATACCAGATGAAAATTTCAACACTTTCAGTGTTTTCTTTAAGGTCCTAACAACAGGTGTTCATTCCCCAGTATTCTGAGTTTAGTTTAAGGTAGTAAATGTTAGCATGTTAACGCAGTCAGCATAATAATCATTACATCACCAAATGGACTGCAAACTTTATAGCTGTGAGCATCAAAACATGCTGATGTTAGCATTTAGCTTAAGGAGCAACTAAGCCTGAGGTCTCACCACCAGCACGGATGCAGACTCTCCTGTTTAGCAACACTGGATGGGGTTTTATAGCTCAGAGGAATAAACTATGTCAGGTTATCACTAAACAGATGGTATACAGAGCGATTGATTTTATTGCTTCATTTATTTATTTAATAATAATAATAATAATAATAATAATAATGGATTGCTTTTATATAGCGCTTTTCGAGACCCTCAAAGCACTTTACAATTCCACTATTCATTCACACACTGGTGGAGGGAAGCTACAGTTGTAGCCACAGCTGCCCTTGGTGCAGACTGACAGAAGCGAGGCTACCATATCGCGCCACTCGGCCCCTCTGGCCATCACCAGTAGGCGGTAGGTGAAGTGTCTTGCCCAAGGACACAACGACCAGGAACAGACAGAGCTGGGGATCGACCCGGCAACCTTCCGGTTACAAGATGAGCTTCCCAACCCCCTGAACCACGGTCGCCCCGAATGTAGTTATGATCATAATATATTATCCTGATGTCCTCTTATGTAAACTTGGACATAACTTGCATCAAATGTTACGTTTTGTCATCTCATGGGTGGCTGGTAGATTTATTAGAAGTTGCGGCATTTCCCCGTGTAGCTGACAATGCAGAAATGACACCGGTGAGACAACCCTGTGCACAAATGAAAGCAACAGTATTTCTTTTAAAATGTTATTAGAGAGTACTTAAAGCGATGTGCACTGTTCCAATCTCAGACTGAAACTGGTCGTGGGCTAAAATACAGAGTGCTGTCTACTGAAGCTAAAAGGCTGGTGACACGTTCAACATGACTACCCATGCTTGACTGCTTTAGACCTTCAACTTAATCACTGATGACACATCCTTTGCCAAATAGTCAAATTAAATGTGGCACCTTATTAAGTACACCTGTTCAACTACTTATTTATGCAAACATCTGATCCGCCAATCAC